AACAGGAGGTTATTTATAATTTATTATGGATAATTTTTTTTATTTGTAGTGAAAATATTTTTTTTAACCTATTTTTATAAAAAATAAGGAATATTTTCTAATCTGGATAAATGGAACTATTTCTAGTAAAAAAAAAAGGAGTATATACAATGTGTGAAGATCGCTAGTTATAAAGAGAAATCGTAAATCAGATTTTTTATTTTATGCGTTTACTTTGTACTTGAACTGTTGATTGGTATAGGTATAGCAAGGTAGTTGAGAACAGCCCCTTGGTTTATAAAGCCGGTTTTCACGTCGTTGATGACGTAAATAATGTCAGTAATAGGTAACTTATATATATATATATATATATATATATATATATATATATATATATATATATATATATATCGAGGCCCAGTAGGAAATCGTAAATGTATCCTGTTCTATAAAACCCCTTTTATAATTAACAAGTATTAGTCGCACAATATACTGCTTTTTATTATAGTTTTTTTTAAAAAAAATTTTTTTATTCTTTTGCATGTGCGAAAAAAAATAATTTTTTTATAATCAAAATTTCAAAGAAAATATTTATTAAAGGAAATTTTAAACTAAAAAAAAAAGGGCGCGAAGAAAGGGACCGTGGAAGCAAAAAAATTATAGGTTATGTTTTAAAATGAAAATATACAGTTCCGAACAAAAATTTACTAACGGCGCAGTACTGGCGTAATATTGGCAAGTGTTGGCGCAGTACTGGCACCCAGTATTGGCGTAACTTTGGGATAATAACATTTTACCACTCTCTAAATCTGAATTAGTAAAAATGTTTACTAATTTGCATTAGTGACTCACTTTTTGCTTTAGAATTAGTTAAATTTTACTAATTGTTAGTAAAAGTTACTAATAATTAGTACAATTTTACTAATTCAGAAGCAAAAAGTGAGTGAATTAGTAAAATTTTACTAATTGTTAGTAAAAGTTACTAATAATTAGTACAATTTTACTAATTGAGAAGAAAAAATTGAGTTACTAATTCAAATTAGTAAAGTTTTTTACTAATTCAGATTTAGAGAGTAATACTGAAATTATTAGTAAATGTTACTAATAATTAGTAAAATTTTACTAATTGAGAAGAAAAAAGTGAGTTACTAATTCAAATTAGTAAACTTTTTTACTAATTCAGATTTAGAGAGTAATACTGAAATTGTTAGTAAAAGTTACTAATAATTAGTAAAATTTTACTAATTGAGAAGAAAAAAGTACTAATTCAAATTAGTAAACTTTTTTACTAATTCAGATTTAGAGAGTAATACTGAAATTTTTGGTTGGGATATATTGAGTACAAAATATTAAAATTTTATACATAAAAAAAAAATCAAGGTAAAACGTAAACGTAACCTATAATTATTTGCTTCTAAGGTCCCTTTTATATATTTTGAAAATTGTCCATTGGAAAAAAAAAAAATACTTGACCTTGTCAAAAATGTTGTTCCTAATGAGAAAGCAATTTTATAACTCTTCCTGCTAGTCTAATGATATATTATGGTGAAAGGTTCTCAACATTGTGAGAAGATAACACGTGCGGGATATCAAATTGCACAAAATGATCTTATATATTTTCTTAACAGTAGAAGGAGATGTTTCCGTTTGAATAAAATTTCTCTATCCAATTTCGTTTCACAAAATGATTGAATTACACATTTTTATAATTTTAATTACTTTTATGTTAATAGATTTTTTTTTTTATTATTTTCATATTTTGCGGATGCAAAAACCTTTTTTTCATTTTTTTTTTTTTTTAAAGTGGTACTTTGATGCATATACGAGTTGTAACTATAGTTTATTCATTTCCTGTATGTGCGAATAGAGTCCAAGAAGGGAATAACATAATCTTGCGCAAAATTATAGACTTTGCAAAAAAGCGTTGACCTCAGAATGTACTTATACGTTGAAAAAAGAGGAATTGAATGCACAATTCAATTAACTTTTGCGATATATAGAGATTCTACACTGTGAATTCAATTTTAGATTCTTTTTTTTTTATGCTCAATTTGTGATTTCCGTTTTGAATTAACAGTAAAAGAAAAGCATAATTTCAAAGAATTACTAAAAAAAAATTCATTTGATAATAGTTGATTTTTTTTTTTTTTATAAAACTTGATGTTAATTTTTTTATTGCTTTTGATTTATCTTTTGCATAAATACTTTCTATTACAAAAATTGTTATGCAATAAATATTTACTATCGAAGAATTGAATCACTTTATATATATATATATATATATATATATATATATATATATATATATATATATATATATATATATATATATAGAGTTATACATTATTAAACACCTGAGAAACTGAAGGCGGCAGTGAAAATACTTTTAAACGAGTTTTAAGAATGTTTTTCAAAACAGTAGTTGATTTTATGACTTGGTCCATAAAATAACGTGAATGAATTTGAAAAAAAAAAAAAAATGTTGAAATATGTTTATATTAATAATGCGCAGTTTGGTACAGCACAATGGTCCTATTGTTTAATATTAATATTTTTTATTTACTATTATTTATTTATAATATTTTTTATTTTTACTTCTCGGTACTTATTTTTTTTTATCAACAATAGTCCTTTTGTTTAATATTCAAATTTTTTTATTTTTACCCCTCTCGAAGTTTGAAAAAAAAATTTTTTTTATTATTCCATACCGATTTTTTAGTTTGAAATTTTGAATAATTTCACATAAATTGGAAAAAAAAATCTATAAACCTTTTTTGGTTCTTATTTTTTTTTTTTGGCAAGTGAGGATTTCATCTGTTTAAGGACACGGATTAAGAAAAGCGAATGATTTAAAATGATTTGCCAATGGCATGAGACGAGAAAGGAGAGATCGGCGTTTATGCAATCCCGCCAAGTATGTAACATGAACGCTTCAGAATCCAGGCGCAGCATTTTCTATATAGCTGTATATATATATATATATATAAAGTACCTAATGTTAAACTTATAAACTGCTACTGTTGCTGTGAACATTGGTGCGATTTATATACGCCCAGAAATTATATCACAAAATTGCTACTTAATATTATCTTTTCATAAATATAAAAAAAAAAAACATAAATATAATTCTTCCGATATGTGATAATATATTATGAATGAAATTACCTCGGAAGAAAAGTGATTATAATTTAGATGTAAATTTTTCAAAAATAAACCTTTTTTTAATTTGATTTTTTTTTTTTTTTTTAATAAAAACATGTTTTAGCGGATTAGTATTATAACTCTTACTTCTAATCGAAACCAATAGCTGGTATAATCGATTGCAGGTATTTAACTTGCACTCCACCAAGATACTTGCAATATAGTGCCCTCAGAACCCGTCCTTCGTTCTTTTCAAGGTCATTGTGCGCTTTAATTATCATTGCCATTGACATGCGGTTTTACCATGTTGAAATGCAATATAATTTCTTACTTTTCATTTTGTTATTGAAAAAAAAACATTTTGCCAACATTCTATCAAAAAAAAAAAAAATTGTAAAAGAAAAAATTGGTTATTTGGCGCAAATAAAATTTTTTATTTGAATCAAATAAAAATTTATTTGAATCAAATAAAAATTTATTTAAATCAAATAAATATTTATTTGACTTTTAGAAAAATATACTATTTTACTGGGTGTACACTGAAAAAAATTTACTTGATTCAAATAATAATGGATTACTTGAATATTGTCGCAGAAAAATATTTACTTATGAACTGAAATAATTTTTGAATTCAAATAGTTGAATTAAATAAATTGTATTTGAACCAATAATTTCTGTATTTGAAATAAATATCATCATAATTATATTTGATAAAAATAAATATTTTTATTTGATACGAATAAATATTTATTTGAAACGAATAAATATTTATTTGATACAAATAAATATTTATTTAAATTTATTTTATTTATTTAAATATTTATTTGGAGATAATTATTATTATTTTATTTTTTTTTTGATGCAAATAAATATTTTTGTTTGATACGAATAAATATTTATTTGAAACAAAGAAATATTTATTTGATACAAATAAATATTTATTTAAATTTATTTTATTTATTTAAATATTTATTTGGAGATAATTTTTTTTTTTTTGTTTTTCTTGATGCAAATAAATATTTTTATTTGATAATAATTAAGTAACCGATTAATTGAGGTACTAATCTTTACAGTTCAGATATTTTTGTTTCTTTAAAAAAAAAAGAAAAAAAAGTGAACTGTATACACGGAAAATGAGATTTTTATTCGAAGTTACAAATTAGTAGAGCATGAGAGATACAACTATTGTGATAAAAATGATTTCTTTTTTTTTTTTTATTGCATCTTGGAACAGTAAAATTTTTTGGTTATAAAAAGTTATTCTGATTCGTTTTACCTGAGTTTTATTTGATAATATAGTTTTTTTTTTTTCCTCTCTCATTAAATTCCACTACTGTTTTTGCTAATTCTTCTTTATACCAAGAGAGTAGCGTCAATAGATAAATCTTAAGAAAGTAGTTCAGATTGCTACTTAGATTTTTTGAAAGAGTTGCTATATTAATCTACATGTTTATATAAAATCTTTATCATTTCAATTCGATAAATTCATTCATTGTATTATCATTTGTTAGTTATGACTGTATAAATTTTCTAATGTTTCAATATTTTAAATAAGTTCTTTTTTTTTTTTATATCATACGATTTTTAATATCCAGTGAACACACTTGTAATTGTTATTACGGAATAATTATTAGAGATTTGTGTGTATCTGTTACGTTTTCTAATTACGTTTTCTAATCCAACTTTCTTTAAATGATTACATGGGCACGAAGACGCAATGACGGTTTCTGTTATTAGCGTTGCCACTACTCTGAATAATTTGCGACCTAGATGGAATATTAATAATCAAAATTTTAGATTATACAAAAGAGGTTGATTTTTATAAAAAGTATAAATTTTTCAAAATTTGTAATACTAATTTGTAAAAAATAATTTTTCAGGTAGATTAGCAGCTATTCTTTTTGGTATATTGGCTCTTACTATTGGCATTATCTTAAGCAGTATACCCTGGGTTGATTATGTTATTTTAAGAGTAAGTACCTATTTAACAATTAATATTTATAGAAATACTTTTTTACTACAATAAAATTTATTGCAAAAAAACAAAATAAATAATTTTTGAAAAAGTCTAGTTTAAATATTAAAATCATTATAAATGAATGAAATGAAACTATAAATAATTATTAACTTTCACGTATAAATATATGTAAAATAAAATGGGTTTTCGAAAATCTACATCAAGGATGAGTATAATTAAATGGCTCACGTTTCTCATGCCATAGAATCCGTTGACCGATAAACTTACTTTAGCGTGAACGATTATCAGAAACGTGCACTTATATTATCTGACTTACAAAGTATGTTGGGTATCCCTCCAATATATATATCTATACATATATATAAGCAACGAGAATGAAATGCGGAAAACGTTTTCAATATCGCGAATGCCTTATAAGATTTATTTCAAGTTGCAAGCTTATATAATATCATCAGTTTGTTTTTAGTTAAATAACAACTCATAAAAGTTTTCTATTTTCAAAAGTAGGTTTATTATTTAATTAACTGGGCTTTGCTTATAATTAAATATTCGATAATATATTATATATATATATTTCAATTTTTATTAAGTAATATTATACAACATAATATGAACAAAAATTTTTTTATTTATTTCATTATTTATTTATTATTTATTTATTTGCAGCAATTAAGACTATGGAATGGATCACTATCTTTTCAATACTGGCAAAAACCCGGTGTTGTTCGTCTCACCAAAGTATATATATTTAATGTAACAAATGCTGATAATTTTTTAAATTTTAACGAAAAACCGAAACTCCAAGAAGTTGGACCATTTGTCTATAGGTAATGTATTTTTATTTATTTATTCTTTTATACAAATTATTGTTAAAAAAGTTATTTAATTTTTCAATTTTATTATTTCAATTTTTAAAAGATAATTTATTAAAAATAAAAAAAGAAAATTAATTTTATTAAACAATTTTCTGTCTTTGACAAAGTGGCTCAATTTTCACTCAGTTATAAGAACAAATAGAACTTTGAAATGTTTACTTAAAAAGGATATAAAAAGGAAATCGAAGTTAAATGGAATTAAAAGAAAAGATCTAATAGTTCTTTCAAGAAGTTTTCTTCAATCCAAAATGGATAAAAAAGAAAATTGAATGTAATAAAAATTGAATTAAAATTATATTGACTCATATAGAAAAGAAAATTATTTGACGCGATGATTATCTGAGAGATTAAAGAAAAGGTGATGGTATCTAGCACATCTAAACATCTAGCTATATTATCCGTTTATAACCAGAACTCCGTTGTATTCAATGGAACCTGCATGATTCTTTAATAACCTCATTGATTTAGGTCGATTTCTATGTTTTACATTATCAAATCATTGTATTTAATTGTTTTTTCATTATTAAAATAATTTATTTTATTTATCAATTTTTTTATTTAATATTTATTTATATTATATTATTTATATTTTTTTATAAATATAGATTTTTGTATAGATTTCATTTTTTTCAAAGTTTTACAATTTATAAATATTTTAGTTTATTTGAAAAATCTATTATTATTATTAAATTCAATAGAATGAAAAATGTAAAAACAGGTTTTTAATAAATATAAAAGTATATTAAATGAAGAGTAAAAAAAAAATGTTGTCTCGTGTATATAATAATAAGAGTTCGTTACGTTAGCATGTTATTTCATAATTATTTTTATTGGAATTAATTAGTTCAACTTATGTGATTCAAGTGTTTTCCATGGAATTAAATATGTAATTAATTATTACAATCTATACTTATTTTAATTTTCTTTTTTTGCCAATAAGTTCTCACAAGAGTTTGTTGTTTTTAAAAAAAAACATTTGCATCGATTTTTTTATTTTTTTATAATAGAATAAAATTGACTACTATTTTTGGAAATAAAAAAATACTTTTTTCAAATTATACTAACTGAAAAATACCGGAAAATATGTTGAAAAATCAATGTTTTTTTAAAAGAATGTTTTCCTGGAAAACGAAAAAAATCCTTCCTCCTTATTTCAAAAACTAACTATAAACAATTTCTTTCTCATTGCCTACTATTTTTTTTAAGTAAAAAATACTTTTTTCAAATCATACTAACTGGAAAACACCGGAAAATATGGTGAAAAATCATTTTTTTTTTTTAAAAAGAATGTTTTCCTGGAAACAAAAAAATCCTTCCTCCTTGTTTCAAAAACTAACTAAATAATTTTTCTAATAACAGTAAAAAAAAAAAAATTGTTTTACTATCGAATTAGTAAGAAAATTTTTAATAAAATTTAACTAATACAAAAGCAAAAACAAAAATTTAGTGAAATTTTACTAATTCGATAGTAAAAAAAAATTTTCTATCGTAAAATTTAACTAATTCAAAAGCAAAAAATAAACTAATTCAAATTAATTAGAATTTTTACTAATATAAATTTAGAAAAAATGATAAAAATTTGGACAATTGACGGTATAATTTTTAATTTATAAACTTTTGAATTTACCCATCATTCTATTATGAGAGAAAAAAAAACTACAAACTACGTAAATAGTACTTCACTTTCTACGGAAGTTTACAGGACAACTTTTATGTGGACATTGTCGGTTATATATTCACACATACATGTATATATTTGAGAACTAACATCCCATACGCGCCCGGTATTACATCGTAATGTAATATTATTACGTAGTAGAATGATCTTACGTCTGAGTAAACTGTTCGGGGTAATTCATTGAAAGAGAAATTTAATTTCGTACAAACTCTTGTTAAAAATATATACATATAAATTTAATTATTTTTTTCTTATGATAAAATCACTGTAATATTATGATTTAATTGCCAAAAAATTTCATGTTTAGAAAAATTTACAACTTTTTGAAAAATTATTTATTAAAATAATTTTGAGAGAGTAAAGAAAATAATTATTTTAATAATTAATAATTTTTATTTATAATTTTAATTTTAATAATTAATTAAATATACTAAGTCATGGTTAGAGGTTTTTTTTTTTTTACTGGTGCGAGTCGGATTCACCATATAATTATGTATGAATGATGTAACACTATTATAACTTCATCTTTGTTGAATTGTTCTGACTGTCATAGTCAAGGCTAAAATATATCATATTTGTTCTTCACCCAGCTACATTTTTTTTTTTTTTTTGGAATAATTATCACTATTTCGTTACATGAATGTTATTTAAATTTTCTTTTTTTATGTAACTCGAACTTCTTATCTGATAAGATAGTGTTTAAATGCGATTTCCCTTAAAAATTGTTGTCTTAAACATTTGCAGCACGTTTCAGTTGAAAGCTTGTCCTTTACGTAATATATTTATATTATAAGCAAATATTACAGTAATACAATGACAGAGAAAAAGAAATTATCTAATTTAAAATATTTAATTTATTTATTAAATATATTTAAGAAAAATTTAAATTTGCATGTTTAGGTAAAAATATATTCAAATATTAAATATACATAAAATATATTTAATAAAAATATTTATAAAAATTTTTAATTAATTTTAAAATAGATAAATTAGAATAGTAATATTATAATAAAAATGATAGTCACAATATTATTTCTCCGTAGGGAGGACATGGAGAAAGTGAACATCGTTTTCCACAATAATGGCACAGTAACCTATCAGCATAAAAAAATTTTGAACTTTGTCCCAGAAATGTCGAAAGACAAGGAATTACAATTGATCGTACCAAACATCCCTCTACTAGTAAGTAGTATTTTAAAATATTTATCAAATTTTTCCTTCTATTAATATTATTCAAAAAAAAAAAAAAAAAAAAAATTTGCAAATATTTTTAAGGAACTTGACATTGTTGAATTTTTATGCCTCCAAGACATTCTTCAGGATATATAATATATTATATCATAAAATCCGCCTTGATTATGGTTACAAAATAATTGGATTGATGTAACAGAGAAAGTAACAAGTTCTTTTTATTTTTTTGTACATTGCAGACATTATCGTCGCAAAGCAAAAGTCTTCCAGGATTTATCACACTTGGCATATCAATGTTTCTGAGGAGTTTGGATTTAAAACCTTTTGTTCCAGTGACAGCTAAGGAATTGGTTTTTGGCTACGATGATCCTTTAGTTAGTTTGGCGCATAGATTTTTTCCTAAAACTCGAAGGCCAATGAGCCGGATGGGACTTCTTATTGGAGTGAGTTTAACTTTAAAAAAAAAAGAGTTGATTTTGATAAAGGTAAAAATCAGGAAAAAAGAACTAGGCGCAAATCGCATACATCTAGGGTTTCGTGGCGTTTTTTAAATTCAGATCAAAAGTTATTTGAATATAATAAATAATTTATAATTACAATATTTGTGAATTTCTATGGTTGCTATGGAAACGATTGCTGTGGAAATCAACTTTTGCCATAGTAAATAACTGTTGCCAAAGTAACTTTTGCCATAGTAAGTAACTGTTGCCAAAGTAACTTTTGCCATAGTAACTGTTGTCATAGTAACAATTGCCATAGTAAGTAACTATTGCCAAAGTAACTTTTGCCATAGTAAATAACTAATGCCATAGTAACTTTTGCCATAGTAAGTAATTGTTGCCAAAGTAACTTTTGCCATAGTAACTGTTGCCATAGTAAATAACTAATGCCATAGTAACTTTTGCCATAGTAAATAACTGTTGCCAAAGTAACTTTTGCCATAGTAAGTAACTGTTGCCAAAGTAACTTTTGCCATAGTAACTGTTGCCATAGTAACAATTGCCATAGTAAGTAACTATTGCCAAAGTAACTTTTGCCATAGTAAATAACTAATGCCAAAGTAACTTTTGCCATAGTAACTGTTGCCATAGTAAATAACTAATGCCATAGTAACTTTTGCCATAGTAAATAACTGTTGCCAAAGTAACTTTTGCCATAGTAAGTAACTGTTGCCAAAGTAACTTTTGCCATAGTAACTGTTGCCATAGTAACAATTGCCATAGTAAGTAACTATTGCCAAAGTAACTTTTGCCATAGTAAATAACTAATGCCAAAGTAACTTTTGCCATAGTAAGTAACTGTTGCCAAAGTAACTTTTGCCATAGTAACTGTTGCCATAGTAACAATTGCCATAGTAAGTAACTATTGCCAAAGTAACTTTTGCCATAGTAAATAACTAATGCCATAGTAACTTTTGCCATAGTAAGTAATTGTTGCCAAAGTAACTTTTGCCATAGTAACTGTTGCCATAGTAAATAACTAATGCCATAGTAACTTTTGCCATAGTAAATAACTGTTGCCAAAGTAACTTTTGCCATAGTAAGTAACTGTTGCCAAAGTAACTTTTGCCATAGTAACTGTTGCCATAGTAACAATTGCCATAGTAAGTAACTATTGCCAAAGTAACTTTTGCCATAGTAAATAACTAATGCCATAGTAACTTTTGCCATAGTAAGTAATTGTTGCCAAAGTAACTTTTGCCATAGTAACTGTTGCCATAGTAAATAACTAATGCCATAGTAACTTTTGCCATAGTAAATAACTGTTGCCAAAGTAACTTTTGCCATAGTAAGTAACTGTTGCCAAAGTAACTTTTGCCATAGTAACTGTTGCCATAGTAACAATTGCCATAGTAAGTAACTATTGCCAAAGTAACTTTTGTCATAGTAAGTAACTATTGCCAAAGTAACTTTTGCCGTAGTAAACAACTATTGCCAAAGTAACTTTTGCCATTGTAAATAACTATTGCCAAAGTAACTTTTGCCATAGTAAATAACTATTGCCAAAGTAACTTTTGCCATAGTAACTGTTGCCAAAGTAACTTTTGCCATAGTAAGTAACTGTTGCCAAAGTAACTTTTGCCATAGTAACTGTTGCCATAGTAACAATTGCCATAGTAAGTAACTATTGCCAAAGTAACTTTTGCCATAGTAAATAACTAATGCCAAAGTAACTTTTGCCATAGTAAGTAACTGTTGCCAAAGTAACTTTTGCCATAGTAACTGTTGCCATAGTAACAATTGCCATAGTAAGTAACTATTGCCAAAGTAACTTTTGTCATAGTAAGTAACTATTGCCAAAGTAACTTTTGCCGTAGTAAACAACTATTGCCAAAGTAACTTTTGCCATTGTAAATAACTATTGCCAAAGTAACTTTTGCCATAGTAAATAACTATTGCCAAAGTAACTTTTGCCATAGTAACTGTTGCCATAGTAACAATTGCCATAGTAAGTAACTATTGCCAAAGTAACTTTTGCCATAGTAAATAACTAATGCCATAGTAACTTTTGCCATAGTAAGTAACTGTTGCCTAAGTAATTGTTGCCAAAGTAACTGTTGCCAAAGTAACTGTTGCCATAGTAACTGTTGCTAAAATGAAGGAGTTGATTTTCAACTTCCCAAGGGATGCTATAAAAGTCCCATCCTTTTGGAGTTGAAGCGAATGGAGTTAATTTTATGCCTAGGGAATTAGTTTTAAAGTTAATTTAATTATTAACACCCTTTTGGAGTTGATTTTTAACTCAGAAAATTTAACTCCCATCTCCAAGTGTCTAATTTTTTGTATAAAATTAATTTTTCAGAGGAATGGCACTTTGGACGAAGTTCATACAATATACACGGGTCATACGAGTATGAAAGATTTTGGATTATTAAATAGATTAAATGGAATGGATCGTCTACCATATTGGGATGATCCACCTTGTAATTCGATACGTGCTTCCGAAGGTGAGTGAATGAAAAAAGCATAATTAAAAAAAAAATTAATTTTTGAAATTTGTATTTTCAGGTTCCTTTTTTCCACCACGAGATGTAACTGGTGAAAATATTGTTCACGTGTGGGATAAAGATTTATGTCGTATTTTACCAATTGAATATCGTGGTCCATCTGATAAGGATGGAATTAGAGCTGATTTATATACACCGGCTGATAATGTTTTTGATCCACCTAGTAATAAGACACCTGATAATGAATGTTTTTGTCCTGAAGATCCATCAACTTGTCCTCCAAAGGGTCTACAGGATATCAGTCCTTGTCAATACAGTTAGTGCCTCTTTTATTCTTTTTAACATAGACAATGTATTTCATTAATTTAACCATTTTTTCAGGTGCTCCAGTTTATCTCTCGTATCCTCATTTTTATAAAGCGGATCCTAAACTTATGAACGCCATATCAGGTATGAATCCAAAGAAAGAATTACATGGAACTTACTTTAAAATACAACCGGTAAGTATTGATTTTTGATATATTTTTGGGTAATTTTCTTCACAGCTAATTCTTTTCTTTTTTTCTTTGCAGAAATTGGGTGTACCATTGGAGGGAAAAGTTCGATTGCAGCTGAATCTAAAAGTAGAGCATCAGCCAAACATTAGAGCAGTTTCAAAATTTCCGGATATTGTTTTTCCAATAATGTGGGTGGAGGAAGGAATTGAGGAATTGCCACCAGGAATAAGGCGATGGGTCTACCTCTCAACAACATTTGTCGATGCGGCAGTTCCCTGCATTGCTTATGGTGTTATTCTAGTCGGAATAGTAACTTTAATAACAGTTTTTGTTAAGGCCTATAATAATGTTGTATTAACACATGAGGCCATTGAATTAGGCAAGAGAACAATAAGAAGGGGTTCATCATTTTTAATCAATGGTCAACATAGACTTTTAATGGTCAAACAAGAATCATATGTTCTTCTGACTGATGATGTCGAAGATGGTAGAGCATTGGAAGACATGTGATTATTGTTAAAGTGTAAATAATTATTATTATAATAATAATTATCAGTCTTATTATCATTCCTTTGATAAAAGGGAACAAAAAAAACTCTTTCTCTCTCCCCCGAGACTGTATATTAATTATTGTTCAATTGTGTTTTTTTTTTTTTTGCATTAATTATACATGCATCAATCTTTAAAAGATTTCTTGTCTTAGTTATTAAGACTATTTTTATTGGCAAACAAATATTTTTGTCGATTATTAAAAATTAATTTAGGCAAAGTTTTTTCATTTTTTTTTTTTTTTCTCTATTTAGTAAAAAGATATAGTTATTTCTACAGATTAGAAATTATACAGAAAAATGAATTTTAATATAGGCCGTATGTGAAATAAAATTTTCTAGAAAATATGCATTAAAAAACCTATATAATTTCTTGTTCTCCAGGTTTATGTGTGCAGTTATGAAATCTGCGGAAATTTTTCTATAATTATACGTCATGATTATTTTATAACAAAGTTTTCTCAAAGAAAAAAATATTTCTCTAAATACAACAATTTTTTCTGATTCTAAAATAGATTAATTTTTAAGAATTTTAAGTTGGTTTTTGGTAACTTTTAAAGCATATTAAATACATATGTACAGAAAGTGTCTGTACTTTCTTTTTCATTGCGAACAAATTACATATGCAATTCAAAAATTAAATTACAATTTGACTTTATGGCTGTGGAAATAGAAAAAAAAAATTAAAATTCTATCGTTACATGTTTAATTATTTAGATCTCTATTATACAATTGCAAAAAATAATAAAAATCATCTTATTTTATTTTTATATTAGATTGCAACGTCAACATTTTTTTTTTTTTTTTGGGAATATTGATAAAATAGTATAAAGATAAAAATAATAAATCATAAACGACAGGTGTCGAGAGAATTTAATTTCTATGATTTTTCACAAAACTTATGTAAGAACTTTGCGTTTAATTAAAAAAAAGTAATTAACTATTAAAAAATAGTATGTGCTGTACAGGTACTCGATGCTCAATTGCTCATGTCTGACAGATTTATAATAATAATAATTATTATTTTGATAAGAAAACAAATATGAACATTGCTCAATAATAATTGTTTATATATACAATAGACTCTTTTTTGTTAGAAATTATCAAAGTTTCTATAAGATTTTATTAAAAAAAAAAAATTTTCTCAATTCCAATCAATTTTTAGTTCAATTAGTATCTCAGTTATAAAAAAAATGATTATAATTATAAGTAATGATTATTAGAAAATAAATTTTTTTTTACGATTTTATTTATATAAAAAAAAAATTATGTGTCCGTAAATGGGTAATTTTAATAACTTTTTATATTAAAAATTCTAATTAATCATTTTGTTTTAAACTTCGATTACGTATCATTTGAAAAAGTATGAATAAATAAATTATTTTAATTAATTATTATTGAAATTGATTATTTCCTTTACTTTTTTTTTTTTTTTCATTTTCTTATTGGAAATTATATATAAGAAATTGAAGAGAAAACAAAAATACATATTTTGTATCACAGTTACTTATTTTTTTATATTTAAGCAATAACAATACAGATTTTAATTCATATAAAAGGGTATTTTACTTCAACTAGATTAAATTTTTTCTTAAATTCATATTACATTTACATTATTCGACTGTCCTTATATATATACATTTGAAATAAACTTTGGAGTACAAAGAGGCACTGGAAACGTTCGTTTTTAGTACTTTTTTGATTAACTATTATTTAAAATATTGTACACTGTTAAAGTCAATTATATATTTTTTTTTTGTACGCTGATGATAATATAATAATTATCAAATAAAAAAAAAGTACAATATTTTATAATTATTGAACCATGTTTAAATATTTCAGTTTGTAACAGTGTACAGTATATTAATAAAACTATATATATTACTGCGAGAAAAAAAAGGGATCGTTCCATTATTATAATCTATGAATTGTAAGTGTACCACTTACAATTTAGATTCTATTCATTTTTCTCCGTGTATTTATTTCAAGAAAAAAAAATAATTATTTGTCCTTAAAATACTTTTAATAATTAAATTGAAATTGTTTTTAAATTTCAAATTTTTTTTAATATTGGCAAAATTCGAATAATTTTTTTTACCATTCCCCAAAATGTGTGCCATTAGAATTTTTTCAACGTGAAATTTTTCTTCTATAATAATTTTTAGTTCTATATACCCAATTAAATTTTTTTTTTAATGTAAGACACGTTTTCATTAATTAAACTTGCATTTTACATTCCCCAATGGAATTTTTAATTACAGATAACAGTTAATATTCACTGTAATTTTAGTTTGTATTGAGGAATGTGGTCAGTCGAGATCTTGTTTTTTCCCCCACTAAGATACATATATGATTTCTAATCTTCGAAATAATTTCTAAAAAAAAAAAATATTATCAAGCATCATTGACATAAAGATTTGGTAAAAATTGTTATTTTAATGACATTTTAGTATATTGCTATAGCAAAGGAGAAGCTCGAGGAACGATTATAAACTGGTTTCAGTAAATGTCCAGTCCTTTCCTTTTTGTCTGAAGGATTATATATATAAATCCATAATTGAAAAGGATTCAGTCGGCCCTTTTATTATTTTTTTTTTTTTAAAAGGCAGGAGGTAGATATTGGTTTAATGCTGATGGTAAGTTACTCTTTCTACAATCACAAACTTCATCTTGACTGTGAGTGTGTTGAAAACCTGATGGCAATTGATTAATTGGTGGTAAAAATTCACTTTGTGGTCCTGATATTTGTGCGATTGGTTTATGGGTAATTGGAGCAATTGATGGTTTATTGAAAACTGCAATTGGAACCACTGGTTTATTGGTGACGACAGCAATTGGAGCCACTGGAGTTACTGGACGACGAATTGGTTGAGGTTGAGGTTGAGATTGAACAATTGGTGGACCATATTTGGCAAAAGGTTTACCGTATTGTGGTACAATGGGTCGAATTGGTTGTACTGGTTGTCTAACTGGCTGGAAGGTTTGAGGAATGTTTTGCAAAGGACGAAGTGGTTCAACTTGTGGGACAAAAGGTTCGGGAGCAGGTACCAGTGGATTTATCGGTTTTGGATATGTAGCTGTTGGGAATTCGGAAAATGTGTGTTCAATTTTTTCCAAAGGTGGTGATTGCATCATGTCCTTCACCCATTGTGTGTCAATCAATGCAAACGTTGCAACCTGAAAGTAGATTTGTGTTTTAAATTAATCTCTTAAATCTCTTTAAAAATCTATTTAAAATCTGCTAAAATCTCCGAATTTATATAGAGTGAAGATACATTTACCTGATTGGTAGGAAGGCAACCAGTGTCTTGACTGTAAATACCAGAAAGTTCATAGTATCCATCTCCACGATCGCAAGCTAAAGGTCCACCAACATCCACTTGACACATATTGTTACTAACATGATGTGCTTTTCCACAAACAAGAGAATCATCAATATCCAATTGTGCTTCGGCTCCCTCTAATCTCTGTCTACATTCGTTTTGACTTAAAAGATCAACATCCACACTGTGCATTAAAGATCCAGCAACATTTACTGAAAATAAATTTTCAAATAAGTCTCAAAGACCTTTTTAAAAATTAATTTTTGAAATAATTACCTTGGAGAACAATTTTACCCCATCCAGTGGCAATGCATTTTCTCTCGGGTGCAATTGTGGGTTTTTCACCGAGACAAATTGTATCAACATGTTGATTAAGCGATATGGGATGTTCTAAGAATAAAAGAGCAGTATCGTAACTTGCTTTGCCTGAAGAATATTCAGGATGATTTAAAATTGTGGCAACTTGTACAATTTCAAAATCCAATGGTTCTTCGTGTTTTAAATCGTAGCCTAATTTCCATTCACCGGCTTTAATTGAAATATCTGATGATTTGAATCTAGAAGGTGAAAAAAATTTTTAATAATGATTGTTATAAATAAATTGTTGAATGTGAAAAAAGGAAAATTTACCCATCGACGCAATGAGCAGCAGTTAAAACGACAGTTGGTGACACTATTGCCCCGGAGCATAGTAATTTGCGATCACGTCCAGAGAGAATCATTGCTTGCCATGGAATTTCGCCAAAGGCAACGTCCACGTCACTCAAACTGCTTGGACGTTGAATCTGGTTAAAAATGAAATCAGAGCGATGTTAATGTATGGAGAAAACAAAAAAAAAAAAAAGACGAGAAAGTTTTATGAAAGTAGAAATTAATTTTTTTGACTAGCTAAATTATGTTCTTGTGCAGAATTAATTTTTATCTGATCTGAACACAATAATTAGAAATAAAAATGTGAAATTTTTCTTACTTGATTTTTCAAACCACATTGAGCACCTGGAGTGTGAGGTTTTATTATAATTGGCTTTTCGTGAGTTGATTGAGTTTCAAATGTATGTTTTGATGGGTGATTTTGGATAAAAGGATTGGAAATTGGAATATTTGGTAGGCTTACACTTGGAATATTGTTGATAAAAGTGGGTCTTGGTGGTATACCATTGTTAATAGGTTGATTGGGGAAATTAAAAATTTTCGAAGGAGGTGTTGGTTCGACAGGTCGATGACCTTTGACAGGTGAAGGAGTTTTAATTGGCTGTTGTAGATGTTCAGTTTTTAATGGTTCTAAAGGTTGGATAACATTTTCATTGTTTGTGGGTTGTTCAGAGTGAAATGGAGGTTGAAGTTCAAGAATTTGTGGAGGTTGTTCTTTTTCTATGATTGTTGTTTGCTGTTCAATTGGTAATTGCGAATGAATTGTTTGATCTAAAATTGTTGATTTTGGAGGTGAAAGTTCAACAATTGTCTGAGGACGAACGGATTCTGTAATGAGTGGTTGAACAGGATGGATTGTTTCTGTTTTTATTGGCTGTTGAGGACGAATTGTTTCAGTGACCAATGGAACTTGATGATCAATTGTTTGGGTTATAATTGGTTGTTGAGGGATGAAGGGAGCTTGAGGATGAATTGGTTGTGTTTTGATTGGTTGTTGAGGGCGAATTGGTTCGGGAACAAATGGACTTTGTACTATTTGTGTTTTAGTTGGTTGTTGAGGTGTTTCTTGAGGTGGAATTGTTTCGGTGATAAATGAACCTTGAGGATGAATTGGTTGGGTTTTAATTGGTTGTTGAGGACGAATTGGTTGTTGGGGTCGAATTGTTACAGGGGCGAATGGTGCTTCGGGGCGAATGGGCTGTGTTTTAATTGGTGGTTGTGGTCGTATTGTTTGTTGACTTTTTTTCGATTCTTGAGGTCGGCTTCCTTTTGGTTTTGTTTTTGCGATATTCAAAAATGTTGGGAAGCCCATTTCATCAAAACCACCAGTATAATTGGCGGGTAAATTGCCCGTTGGCCATGGATCAACGTAATTTGGGTCACGACAACATTTTCCAATGATGCCACTGTCAGGGTTCCTGCAACTCTGAAACAGTAAAGTAGTAAAATTAAAATAACTGTCGAAATTTTGTTGATTGATTTGTTTTTTTTTTTTAATTTCCTAGTAGAAAACTATATGCTAATTAGGCTCCCACGTTGGAATTTTCACATGGGGGAAATTGAAAATTAATATGCGAGAAGATGATTCATTATTGTGGGAGACATTACGTAAAATACTATCCGTTGAATATGTAGGTATTATTTAATCGATTATTTGTTAGAACTTCTAGATCTTCAAATGGTAAAATGTTATGTTTCTTCATTTATGACAAGATGACTCATTTGATATTTCTATTAAATATTCAGAAATAATGCGCGAGATTTATTTTTATTTTGTTAAATAATTCTTGATAAGTAGGTCATTAGACTTACGCTCATTGGCGCTCTTCTCAATAGTTGATCGCTGGTCAACGTCACAGGCTCTGGGCTTATAACTGCATCCATGGTACAAAATTGTTCTTCAACACAAAGTAAAGCAGCGGCACATCCAACTTGTGGTGGAATTTCAGGAGCTGGGGGGAATGTGGGACGAATTTCCACTGGTGATGGATCATTGGCTTCACCTAAAATTTAAAAATTAAATAATTTTAATTTTGAAAAAATTAGAAAAATCCTATTTTTTTAATTAATAATAATAATTAATTGACCTTCATGCTCCGGATCCTCGGGGGGATGAGAAAAGGCTGGTACTTGATCGGAAGGTGCACCTCCAATTGGTGGCAAATATCCATTAGCCTCAGGTGTAATTTGTCCTATTGTGTTCAATTCATGTAAGTCAAATAATCCACCTTTATTGGAATTGTCTTTGTTATCTGTTGAAATGAATTGAATTTAAAAATTGTAGAAAGATTTCAATGCTTTCACATTTATAAGAGATAAATATTTAATTCCATATTGGGTGATTAAGAAAACTCTCTTTTTCATGTTTAGAAAATAAAATAACTTGTTCTTTGTTTTTTGCTGCGGTTTGATTCTTGATTTGGTAAATAAGATTTTTTATGACACATTTTTTTAATAAACGATTGCACAAAAAAAAATGAATAAAACAGTATATATTAATATTAAAAATAATAAAACGTGTTTTTTGTAATATGACTATAACTTTAAGGCAACAATGAATATTTGATTTTTTTTTTGTATTTTATCTTGTGAAACGATCATCGTTTTATTTGTAATTCTCGTTCTGCGAAAGTATTTTTGATCCGCAAGGGTTAAGGACCCTCGAATTCTTATGTTGCCCTTGCCATATATAAATGTCTGACGTAAGACCAATGGAATTCTTTCAGCAAAACTTTCACTGTTCCTAAATAACTATTTTGGACCATCACACAAAGAGTTGCTTAAAAGACAACCCATTAAATTAATCCCAAAAACAGATATAATTTTTAAAAGATAATGATAAATTTTAATTAAATAATTTTTTTTTTATTACCTTTCACGGGTATTGGTCGGCTAGTTTTAATTTCATTCTCTTGAATTTTCAAATTACAACAAACTTCATGGTTCAAGTCACAATCTTGTTTCTGTAAATATAAAAAAAAATAAAATTATTCTTCTTTGTGAAGAATGAATTTATCGTGAATAAATTAATAGCTTTTATTATGGTAAATAAAGTTTTTTATGTTATGTTTCAATTTGAGTGTACATTTGTGTTAATTAAGTTTAATTCATATATGCATTTTAAATGCAATATTATGACATCTTTCTTTCATTTTAAATAAAATTTAAAGATTATAAATAAGGGAAATGAATTATTCTTTGTACGACAAAGAATAGCTTACTTAGGGTATAAATTGTTAAGTTAATGAACCTAAAGAAGTTAATGTTTATATATACCTACACATTAATTAATGTGAAATTGCAATGACGAAGAGTTTTTCTTGAAGGTCGCAATTACTCATAACTAATAATCAGTAGAGAATGTAAAAAAAAAAAAAAATGTTTTAAATTCTTTTTAGAAATATTCCAAATGTGCTTTATAAATATATTTTTATATTTCAATTTTAAAAATTATTTTTTTTTTTCAAACTATCTTTGATATTTGATAATTATAATTTTTAATATAGAAAAAAAAATAAGGAATCAAATATTATATTTAATATTAAAATATTTTAACTTTATTGGGAAATAACATGTTTATGGAAATAAAAATCGTTGAAATGGAAAAATATAATAGAATAGGATTTTTTAAAGCAGATGTAACATCAATAAATCTTTGAAATTTAAATTTGTGAATTTAGTCATTTTGATTAGATGATGTAAAATTTAAATATTAAAATAAAATAAAAAAAAAAAAAAAAAGGTTGAAATTCTTGAAATAGTGTATAAATTATGCAATTTTTCAAAAATCAAAGTACTTCAGGGTCAATTACATTTAAGTAAATTTTTTTTTTTAACTAAAAAATAAAATTTCAAGGATTATTTAAATTTGATATGAACTTAGATATAAATAAATAATTAAATTCATATTTTTAAAAATTGTGTAATATTTTTTTTTTTTTTTTTTAATATATTTAAAATCGATAAGGACTTTTTTGATGATTCTAAAACGTTCAATGAGTTAAAGTAACTTTTTTTTTCTATATAGGAAACCTGAAATTCACGATACCTGAAATCCTGTTTGACGTTAAATTTTAGTCAAGGACAAAGGGGCAGATTGATGTTGGAAGGTATAAATGCGATAGAAGAAAAATAGTAAAAGACTTGAAAAAAAATATATATATATAATACAATTTCAATAAAAAAAAATTTTTAGCAAAATAGAATTAAAATAAAAAAAAAAAAAAAAATGATTGCTAAATGTTTTCCTTCGACATCATGTTGCGCCAACCGTTTGATTCACTTCCCATCTCGAAATCGTTACGATCGTTCGCGATTGCATTTACATATAGCCCTACGCATAGAAAGTTGTTTGTATGCATTTTTTTTTACTCCTTGGGTCCTACTATTGATATTGTAACTTTTGGTGATTTGGAAAAAAAATAAGTCGAAAAAAAGAACAAGTATTATACCATTAATGAGCGTTTTACGAAGGAATCACGGTTGCGTACGTTTTATAATATATGCATTATATATATATATATGTGTTACTTAGACTGAATGTGGATGCTAAAAGATCCAATATGAGGGAGATTCTTCCTGATTGGATGATCGGTTAATACATGACATAACATCACTTTCGCCGATCTATCACACACTTTGCCTGATGATGTATGTATAATAAAAAAAAAAAAAAAAAAAGAAATGACCGTTTGAATGATCCCTGACCCTGGGTCCTGTTAATTTTCACTTTGGCAAAATTATATTAAGATCTCGAAACATTTATGAGAAATGTTACAAAATTGCGGATCTCGATTTCAGTTCAGTTTCAAAGCTTTTTTTTTAATATAATTTTTTGTGAATGAAATTAATTTCAAATTTTTGTTATTAAATAATTATTTTTCAATAATTATTGCAATATAATACACACTATGAAAAGGGTGAATGTCATTTTTGGAAGTCTTGAATCAAGGACTTTAATTTTAAAAAAGAGTCGATTGGGACATGGGATCGCATTTAAATTACAATCTTTGGTCACTCTGTAAACACATTCCACTTTCTCCAGCAGCCCATTTACCATTTTATTAAACCAATCCAATCTCTCGTTGCACTCTTCGTAAATGGTATAATTGCAATAATGTTTATGAATGAAAAAAATTTTTGTATATATCATTTTAAAGTCAATTTTTTTTTTTTTTTTTTTTTGTTCAGTCAACATTCTCTTTTAGATAATTATAAAAATAAATGCGTCATTAAAGAAAATTAAAAGAAATTCAAATCATTTTTTTTTTCTATTCTATAGATGTGATTATCTCTTTTGATAAAACTACTATACTATCAAATCGAATGATAATAAGAATGAAGAAACTTCTTCAATTATTGCTTTTTATATACGATTACGCAAGGTTTGTTTTAATTTCATTGACGCAGACTCTTTCACTCATCGCTTCCAGCAAAAAAATTGATCTCAAGCAAAAGTAATTTATTCGCAAGACACCATCGTGAAAGAGTATTAAAAAAAACCTGTCTTTATTTATTTACTAAAAAAAAAAGTGCATTTTATTATATAAACAATTGTTAAAAATACAAATTAAAAATTTTTCTTTTTTATTATAAAAAAAATCACTAATAGCAAATAAAAAGCAGGAAATTAATATGATAATAATTAATTTTTTTTTCACTATTATTTTAATTATATTAATTAATATTTAATATAAAAAAAATTTGCGAACTATGCAATTTTTTTTTTAATTTATTTTTTGAATGAAGAAAGAAAACCGTTTAATTATGTCAATGGAGTTTGAGAGATCTAGCTTTGGTAAATGATTTCCTATAGATTCTGAGCCGTTCCACTCCCACGCTTATTTTGCAATCACATTTTAATGTCCTAATACTTAATGCGGACTATTGTCATTTACACAATGAGTACCATCATAGGCACTTTACCAAATTTAATAAGGACGTTGAGAAATCAAAAATTTAATCATTGAAGATTCATCTATTTGTTAATAATTCTTAATAATCACAATCTTATTTTATTAATAATTTCTAAAAAAAAAAAATCATCAAAGGATCGGTAAACAAGATTTTTAGTGTAAAAAAATTAAAAAAAAAAAAAAAAGTGGGACGAGTATAGACCTTCAAACGAAAACGAAAGTAAAGAAAGTTGGAAATCAAGTTTTGTTGAATTGATCTCTGAATATCGTATATAAATTGTTATGAAACAGATGCCACATTTTTTATCGTTCATATTTTTGCACTAGACTTATTTTTTAATTTCGTTTTAAAATATAGGAAAAAAAAAAATTTTTTTTAAATTAAAAAAAATATATAGGATTTAGATAAGTAAAGTAGAAAAAGATTTTTTTGGCGAAATAATTATATGTAAAAAATTAATTTTTATAAATGTTTTTCGATTTGCAAACAAGTAATAAATAAAAATCGTATTGCATAATTAAATTCAGTAGCATCATTAGAGATTCGAATGAGCTCGATGATAGTAATAGGACTCGTTTTTTTTTTTCGAATCATCAATAAGAAAGAATGTCTGATTAACATAAGAATTTATTTTTTCTATTCGGCATGTCACCAACTAAACAAATTGGCAAACTGTTATTATAATCAAATTAAAAAAAAAAAAAAAAAAAAAAATTCTGAAATTCTTCTTTTATAACGACGTTCAAATATCCACCTTGAAATTCAATTTATTTTAACGGTGTGAACTTTCACTTCAAAAAAAAAAAAAAGAATAAGTTACATTTTTTTTTGTTTTTTTTTTTTTCTAAAGGTCCAGGCGCCAAGAGTATAAAATATTTCCGATCATAAGTCTTTCTTCCGAAATATTGGATTCTTATTACGAAAGCAATGAAACGATTATACGGAAATCATTTAAAGGGAATTACACAAATATTCCTTATTCAAGAGATGAGTCATTTAATATTTTTATATTGTATAACTTTGTAATCTAAAAATAACTTGAAAAAGGAAATTTTTTTTTCATTTGTGTTTTAAAATATTAATTAAAGATGTAAAATTATTTTTTTTTAATTTGAAAATTATTTAAGTATTTAGTTAAAATATTATCAATTATTGACGCATTAATTAACACTAATAAGAAAATTGAAAAAAAAAAAAAATTGTCACATCATTTATTTAAATTTGTCTTCAATTAAATCAAGAATTCTAAAAATTTTTAATTTAAAACAAAAATTTTACTAATAATTTAAAAGAATAAAATCAAAATTAAAATTATTTTTTTAAGAGAAAAATAGTCAAAAAAAAAACCTAATGCAAAAATTTTGGAATAAATAAATGGGAATATTTTGAATTTCAATGTAAAGATTTCGATTATATGTGATCATTCTTTTTTTTTTTTCTCTTACTCCTACAGGATGCCTTTGAACAAGTTTTTGAGCTCAAGGCTAATTTTTTGAATTGACTCACGAATTACTTCCATTCATACACCTACTCTGAATACTTTTAAGGATGAGACATAGTGCATAATAATAATACATTTTTCTGTTTATATTTCTAAAAGAATTTAAAAAAAATCAATCACATTGCACATTTTATTTTAATCAGAAGAAAAAAATAGAATTTTTCTAGAGCAAATTGTATATAATAAAATTGTGAATAATTTTTTTTTTTTTTTTTTACTTCTTTTTAGAGTGATGTGAATATTATGATTTAGTTGATGGTAATAACGAAATAGAAATTTCAAGCTAAAGCTATATATGAATTGTATGTTAATTTATGTTAAATTACCATCAAATTGAATGTACGTCATTAAATCTTTAATTGGTAACATTCAAGATTTTACTGCGATTAAAATTTCTTAATTAAACGCATTTTCTTTCTCTTAACTTTTCGGATATGACCAAATTGAAAGGGCCATCCAATTTTATATTAGGTTACACACAAAATAGAATTGCTTGTTTATTTCATGAAGTCACCGTTTATTTATTTTTTTTTTTTAAGTGATGAAATTTTCAGTTGCTACACCCAGAAAACGGTTTCTTTGCAGCAAATAAATTTATCCATACTCTTATATGGTCAAAGATTAAAAAAAAAAAATTTTTTTATTTAAAAATAAGAGAGGAGTTTTTTCAATTTTTATAAAAACAAATTATTTAAAATTTTAACTATTAAATAAATAAAATTAAAATATCGGAATTTAAAAAATTTTATAACGTAACACTGATTTTCTATGATAAATAATCACAAATAAAACGAATTTGGATTTTTTTTTTTTAATTTATGGCAATAAGAGTCCTTATATAAATTTTATGCACTCTAATTATAGCTTGCATATACACTCTCAATGATCTTTACATAAATTGTTTTTTTTTTTTTTATATAATATACTTACTCTTTGATAACATATGTATATATTTTTTAATATGAAAATATATTTGTATATTTAATATATCAAATTTTTTATTTATTAACAAATATTAATAAATGGAAAATTTTAAATATTTAAAATAATTTTTATATTTTTATTATATATAAATAAAATTTTAAAAAATTAACTATACAATCGTAATAACTATTTACGATTATATAAAAGAAATTATAGATCTGTTTAATTTAAAAATGACTGTGACTTTGAATTTTCTTATTATAGTGGCATTCCGCGATAAAAAGTACCGTAGTTTAAAGATCCTGATTCTTGGGGAATTCCAATGACTTGTGAATCTTTTATAAGCTTTTTCGACAATTTTTATACTTGATGAATTTAGTATCCTAACATGGGCTTAATATATTATAATGATGTATGCATAGAAGATCCGGGAGTTTTTTTTTCCAACAATTGTTTATAAATTTTGTCTCTTACATTGAATTTAAATTTCACATCTGATTTTTTGGTAAATTTAAAAAATGTAAAAAATTATAATTATAAATGTAAAAATTATAATTATAAAAATTGTAAAAATTATAATAATAAAACTTATAAAAATAGAAAGAAATTTTATTTTTATTTTGAAAATGTTAATTGAATATGATTCATTTTATGGACAAACAATTTCCGACCTATCGTAATAACCGATTTGTCTAAGAATTTTTTTTTTTTTAATATAAACATTCATAAAGTCATTTTAGCGGTTCAAAGATTAATTTCTATTTCATCTTGAAATGAAATCTTGAAATTTATCATTAATATAATGATTCCGGTTTCATTTATTTTCTAAACTAAGCAGTCTTCTATTGATCAAAAAATAAATATAAGCATCTGAATATAATTAATTGCGATGAATAAACAAAATTATTATACAATGAATTATTTTAGTTTTTAGTAATACTATAAAAAACGATATATCATTTAAAATGAGTAATTAATTTTAAATAACTTTTAGTTATTTATGCTGGAAATTTTTTTGGGGAAAAAAACAAATTTTATCTATATTGAGATTTTTTCGAGTTAAAATTAAAATTTTTTTTTTTGACTCACCTGATTATTAAATTCTTCTTGTTGAGTAGTGTAGCCATTTATGCAAAGATTTTTGGGAACACAAATTTTATTTTGTCGTTTACAACTGACAGTGAGGCCAATATTGGTATCGAATTGTTGAGTGAATTGATCTGGAGAATTTTGAATCTCGTGAGAATTTGGTCCATTGGTTAATTGATCTGGAAATTGTGAGATCTGTTCAGTTTGATCAGTTTGTATCAATAATGGTGTCAACACAACGGATCCAGATCCTGGTTTTAGGAATGGATTGTTTTTCTCAATATTTACAGAAACTGGTCGAGTAGGTTTAGGTACTTGATAGGTTGGCGTCTTCGTTACATGAGAATTCTGAAGAATAAAAATATTTTTATAACAGAATTTTTATATTCTATATTTTCTATAATAAAATATTAAATTAAAATTAAAAAATAAATTTTAAAATTCAAATAGCTTACTATTCCAACGGATGCAGTAGCTTGATTAAAAAATGGATTTCCCTGATTGTTGATTGTATTTCGTTGATCTTTAGCTTGCATATTGGCATTTCCTTTTTTGAGACCAAATGTAGTGCTAGCAATACAAGATGTAGTGGTACATTCAGTTTCTTGATTTTTATTGAAAAAAGGATTATCAGACTCCTTTTTATCATAATAATAGCCATCATCTTCGGGATTATTTAATTCTTCATTTTCAAAATGATGAACATCATTAACGTCCTTCGAATAATCAATTGATTCCACATGGGGAATTTGTTCACTATGTTGCTCTAAATTACCTTCCTTATAGTGATAACCATTGTCTTGATGATTACCCGAATAGGGTAGTGCATTGGCCTTATAGACCAACGCTACTGCAATCAGCAGTAGTGATGCACTTCGTTTCATTTCAAGGACCTACAAAAAAAAAAATAAAAATTTTTTTTTTAAATTCACAAATATTTCAAGATAGAAATTCAAATTTATAAATACAAAAAATCAAAGTCCTTTTTGATTATATAAAAAATTCTTTTCGTCATATTCTTATGTAAAGAATTTTTAAGAATAAGATGATATAAAGAAACCATTAGAGAAAAGCATAATAATTTTTTTTTTCAAAAAAGATATGATATTTTCAAAAAGAAGGAATATGATGTAATAACCATTGGACAGGAATTATTTCCTCTCTAATGACTGTATTATGCTTCATTAAAAATTTATGATGAATTTTAATAAACATAAAAAAATAAGTTTTTTTTTTTGTTCTAACGGCTAATTTAAACGATGATTTAAAAAAAAAAAATTGCAAATTATAATAATAAAAAAATTAAATAAAAAAGAATAATTTATTTAAAAATAATTATTATCGAGTTTTTTTTGAACTTGATTGAAAATAAATATTTGATTTTTTTAATTTAAAAATCAAAGAACAATGTAAAGTATTTATTCTATTTATATGTATATAAAACTTGTGCAAATGACCGTAAATGAGTATAGAGCGAGCCTTCAACTTTGTAAAGGCCTCGATCTTGAATGTAATAGAATGTCATTGCATTCATCTATCATAGATGAATGAAATTTTTCAACAATAACATTTTTTAAGAAATAAAAAGTCATGTTTACATTTTATGTAAACATTTTTGCAAAAAAAGTGCAATTTTTTTTTTTTTGAAAAATATAATTAAAAGGAAAATTAATTGCATTTTAAAAAAATTTATTTATGTTTCTTAATAATTTAAAGTAAATTTTAAATTTTAATAGTAAATTTATTTGTATTTTTCAATTACAAAATAAAATTAAATCCAAAATGAAAATAAAACTAATAAAACTTTGCAAAAAAAAAGCAAAAATTTTCCTAGTGCAATTTTTGTTTTTTTAATTTTAATTAAAAGGAAAATTAACTGAATTAGAATACAGTTTTCAAATAATTTTTCTATTTTTTTTTTTTTTTTTTTTTAATAAAAAGTCATGCAACATATTTGCAAAAAAAGAAAATAACTTTTTTGTAGTGCAAATTTTTAAAAATATAATTAGAAGGAAAATTAAATGAATTTAGAATACATTATCCAGTGTTTGCAAATAATTTAAAGAAAAATGAAATTTTGTATTTTTCAATTGAAATTTAAATTCGAAATGAAAATAAATTTTTTTTGAAGTAATAGAAGATGTAAATAAATAAATAAACAAATTAATAAATAAATAAATTAATTAATAAACAAGTGAATAAATAAATGAATGAATTAATTAATAAATAAGTCGATAAATAAATAAATTAATAAATAAATGAATTAGTTAATAAATAAATTAACAAATAAATAAATAAATTAATAAATAAATTAATAAATAAATTAATAAATAAATTAATAAATAAATTATTAAATAAATAAACAAATTAATAAATAAATTAACAAATAAATAAATTAATTAATAAATAAATAAACAAATTAATAAGTAATTTAATAAATAAATTAATGAATAAATAAATGAATTAATTAATAAATAAATTAATGAAGAAATGGATGAATGAATGAATTAATAAATAAATAAATAAATTAATAAGCAAATTAATTAATTAATTAATTAATTAACAAATAAATTAATAAATAAATTAATAAATAAACAAATTAATAGGTAACTGAATAAATAAATTAATGAATAAATAAACTAATACATAAATTAATAAATTAGTGAGTAAGAATTTAATGAAAAGAAGAATTTTTTTTGAACAAATATTTGCACTTTTATGTTTCGAGGGTAGAAAAACATATTAATGAAGAAAGGTCAAAACGTGCTTCACTGGCGAGTGTGTGTGTGTCACTATGAATACATCACCAATCACAAAAATTTTTTTTTTCTTTTTTTTTTATCACGATGAATTCACTTTAAAAAAATAAAAAAAAAATATTGAAATGCGAACCTCGCTTGATTTTCAAGATGTGATGCTCAATCCGTAATGCATAAATATGAATCTCGAAGGGGAGTTTTGCACGACGTCCTATAACCGAACTATATACCTTGAGGAAGGTTGACTTCGTTACTCACCTGTTTTTATATATGTGTCCTCTTAAAAAGTACACTTATATGAAGCTTAAAAGAAAGTCAGGGTGACTGGCGACGCCTCCACATTCCGGCTTCTCTTATACCATCCTTCGACGATGAGTATCCCCACTATATGTATATACGATTGGGCGCCTCCTGTCCTTCGATATCCTATCCTGGTCACTGTCATATACATATGTTTACGTGGTGGTCCATTCTCATGTGAATCGCATATTCACGAAATATAATCTTCATATACGAGTCACCGCTTTGAAATTCCTTAATTTTGATGATGATGATGATGATGATGATGATGATGCTGTTGATGATTGTGTAAAAGAATTTGACATATAGCACTTCTTTTGCACTTTCCGGATGTGGTTAAGGATCATTGCAATATCTTTTATACAAGTCATTCAGAGTCAGTACCCGCAACCTTCATCGGTATTTGTAACATATTTACGTCATCGCATAATCTGAAATAGTGTACGTAGAAAAAATCCATTTCAGATAAGCAAATTAGTGAATTAATCATAAAAATGCATTTATAGGGAAATTAATTTATTTATGTTGAATAAAAATTTGCTTGGATTCTATCAATAGTTTTGTTTAGATCCGAAAGTAAATAATTCTTTTTACAACGTTCCGAATGGATACGAAACGGATTAATTCGATATAAAAATTGTTAAGGATTTAAAATTCGGAATTTCAAAAATAATTTTATTATTAATTTAGTGAAAAAAAATTTAGATTCGAATAAAAACTGATTGGTCATATAGTGAACCAAAAGTAAATTTTACTTTTTTTTAAGTTTATTTCGAATGGGTACGAAACGGATTAATTTGCAATAAAATTATAAAGGATTTTCTAAGCAATTCAAATTCGGAATTATTCGCAAAATAATTTTGTTTTTAATTTAGTGAAAAAAAAATTTAGATTCGGATAAAACTGATTTGTCATAGTGAACCAAAAGTTTAGTTGATTCTATCAAAAAGTTTTTTTGGCCTTTTTCAAAACTGAATTTTACTAATTTATAATTTGTCTTAATTCTGAAATAAAGTGGGTTCAAAACGGATTAATTTGGAATTAAATTATACATGATTTTCTAAAAGAATAAAATTCTAAATGATTCGGAAATAATTTATTTGTTGTACTAGTTAAAAAAATTTAGAATCAAATTAAAACTAATTGTCAATAGAAAAATTTAAAATCCGAAATTAAATTTTCCCTTCTTTTTATTTTCTCTAAATTCCAAATAAATTTGGTTCAAATCGAATAAAGGAATTAAATTATACAGTATTGTAAAAAAAAAAAAAAAAAAAACAATGAAATTTTATCAATTTATTTCCGATATCCAATAATTATAATTTTCACGTATTTAATAATTTTATTTTATTTTACTTAAAGTACAGTAACACTTGCAATTAAATTTATTCACAAAGTAATATATAAATGAAACATTTTATGTTTTATGAGACATACTGAAACAATTTGCATATATTTTATATGACAAATTTGTCAAAATCATATATATATATATATGTATATATACATATAGGAAAATTTATACCTAATGTCTATATATTCAAAGAAACATTTCGGAAAAATAAACATCATTCAAAAATTTATGTCAAGATTCCAATGTGAAAATATATAAATACATTAAGTGTATGATTTCATAATTTTTATATATATACAAACAAATGAATATTTCAAATATTAGGTGATTATTCATTAAAATAAAAAAAAAAGTTTTTGATTATTATTATTATTATTATTATTATTATTATTATTCATTAGAATAAAAAAAAAAGTTTTTTTAAAAATAATTTTCAATTTTTATTATTTAAAAAAAACTGATTTCAATTTTAAAAAAAATTTTTTTTTAACATATCACATTTCTTTAGTTTACGATTTTATTAATTACTTTAATTGCATTTAAAGAACCTTGAGCTTTTAGTCCGGGAAAAGTCAGGGACTTAGAAATAATAATAATAATAATAATAATAATAATAATAATAATAATAATAATAATAATAATAATAATAATAATAATAATAATAATAATAATAATAATCATATTATTACACTTTACTTATAGTAACTCTTGCATATAAAAAACGTTTAAATATTTTAACGAACGTGTAAATAAGCTCTTCGTATTAATAAAAAAAAAAATTTTTTTTTTTTTTTTTCATTAGATTTCTATTTTATTCAGAATAAAATTTGGGATTTGTCTTATCAAAATTTCGATAAATTAAAATTGCTAAATAAAGAAATCAACTTTCTACAATTTGCTGTCCAGTGCAGAAATAGAAATCTCTGTGATTGTGTGTAAAGGAACCGTTTTATACTGATCAACTCTATAGAGGTAGGAATTTTCACTCATAATTTTATTGAAAAAAAAAAAAAAAAAAAATTACATAAGAGAAGAATTTTTGATTCCGGAAACGTGTTTCAAGAAAAATTTTGCCTGCAATAAATTTAACATGTGAATTTCGCAAATATATATATAAATAAATAATGATTTATCGCATCTTCTATATATGGGATATTAACTATATATATATATACATATATACACATACGTCTCATCTATTTATTTATTTAATGAAATTATAGCTTCAAAATTAATTTAATTAGTTAAATAATTTAATTAAATAATTAAAGTTGATATAAATTATTTTTTTTAGTAGTGCATAAAAATATTATGATTGAATTTGAAATTTAAGTTTCCAAATTACTTTAACCTCAAAGTTAATTAATTCACAAAATTAATTTAATAATGTCAAGGTCGTTGCTTTTGATGTTTAAAAATCTTTTCTGTGAAATTGAAATTTTTCCAGATGATGAACCTCTTGCCTCTACATTTTATGTTTCATAATTTAAATTTTCTATACAATATTTGGATAAATATAATTATAATAAGTAGCGTAATTTTTTTTATTACTTTATTATAAGAACTATTTCAAAATTTATGACTTTCTTTCATTCTGTTTTCACTGATGACGATACAAACTGATCTTATACATCATATTACAAATAATTATAATAATATTACTAATTATAATATTATTATTAATAATTATAATAATAGTATTAATAATTAATAATTAATAATTAATAATAATAATAATAATAATAATAATAATAATAATAATAATAATAATAATAATAATAATAATAATAGTAATAATAAAAATAAAAAAATCCACTACGTTCTTTATAAAATTAAATGCCAGTAGCTCATTGAAATATATGACGCAATATACTCATTACAAAGAAAGATGATTAAAAGAAAAAAATGTAGTCATTAATAACTATATTTCTAATTTCTACTTCAGTACCTAGAATTCGCATATCAAATCAAATCATCAATTTAAACATCCTTTTATCATGTTTTATTTTATTTTTTTTTTTTAGTTTCCTATATATATATATTTTTTTGATTAATGCTTTTAAATATAGTGACAGATTAGTCTCAGAAAAAATTAAGAAAGAAGAGCAACGAATAAAAGAACTATATATATATTTATATCCTGAAGGCATTTTACGAATAATAACAATAATAATTCAAAAATAATTCACTAATGAGTTATATCGTCAGATATAAACAAGGATGTGGTATTAAGTGTTTATTTAAACCTTTTGAAAGGCTAAGTTTACGTATATATATATATAGTATAATTTAAAGTTTATTAAAAAAAAAAATCAGAAAAAAATTTAATAAAAAAATATAATAAAATATATAATAATAAAATTCTTATATAATAATTTCGATTATTATCAAATTGTATTATTAGAATATAAATTAAGACGAAAAATTTAAATTCTGGGAGAATTTTTTAAATGCTAGTTGCGTATAATAATTAGACCTAATTCAAATGAATGGATTCTCACATAAAGATAAAAATATTTTTGTAAAAAAAAAAGTGATCTTCACAAAGATGTCTATCATAATTTCTTAAATTAGAATCAAAAAAAAAAAAAAAGAAGGCAGGAAATCACGAATATAATTTTTAGTGCCGAATCCTTATTGTGGTACAAAAATGATTGGCGTCAGAAAAAAACATTAAGTATTCCCGCCTTGAGTTGAGGATCTAGAATTTTAAATTTAAATAAATCGTTAAAAATAATATATTTAATTTTTTTCTTCTACTCATCATAATTATCAGTTAATAATATTTTTACATTTATCAAATAATAATTAGAAAGTGCAATTTTTATTAATTAACTAAATTTTTTTTCTATAACAAAAAAAAAAATTAAGTCTTTCTAAAAGAATCATTATGACTTATAAACAGGTTTTCAATAGATCGAGATTTATGTAAGAATTGTCTTATTGTCAGTAAGCTTTTCGGGTATAAAATTTCTTTTTTTTTAGACACATTTAATGATATATAATATAATATAATAAAAATATGTAATAAAAAGTTTAAAAAAAATTTTGTACAGTAATATATTTGTTTAATTATATACTTAAATTAAAAGCTAAAATATATATGACTTTAAAGAAATCGTTACTTTCGTAACTTTTAGCATCTCATAATGCGACTTATTACCATATATCCGTTTTGGTTCAAAATTCTTAAAGGTACATCTGTAACAGTATGAATTGCTCTTAACATATATAAAACGACATCACCATATAGTCATATATCAATATATGAAATGAATTTTATGCGTTGTGTGTGTGTGCTTCAAAATAATCATGATTTCAACATATATATATACTGTATATATGGTACGTCATTTCCAACAAGTCAAAAAATGTATAATGACAATATTCTGAAAAATAAGGAAAAATGCAGTTCCTAATATTTAAATAATATATATAGAAAATAAAAAAATAATTTATCATCCAGTTGTTGGTCATTTTCTTTTTTAGTGTTTAAGTGACTATAAAAAAAAATAAATTTTTAATGATGATGAAATAATCAAGATCTTGTAAACATCTTTTATTTTACGCATAAAAATTAATTTTTATATGTTCCTTATTTGTTATAGCATTTAAAAAAAGATACATTTTTTTTATATATTTGCATTTGATACAATAAAGTAAATTTTAATAATTATGTAATTAAAATCAATTTTGCATTATTCATTATTATATATGAACTAAAAATCAAA